TTCTTGCTGAAACTAAGTATTCCTGTTATAGCCTCGATTCTTGCAGTATACTGAAAATATACAATAAATAATACAAATTTATCAATGCATGATGTTGTTTTTTTTGCTATTTTACATATATTTTCTAATTACCGTTAGATTAAGTATTAGCCTTATCTAATTACCATGACCATAAAATTTTTGGATCTCATTTACGCGAAAACCGCTTTGAATAATTTGACGCCTTTACGATTGTTAGATTCGTACTTTTCATGTGTTTTATATTTAAATGCGTTTAAGTCAATTAAGCCAAATTTCAAAAATAATATGGTAATTAGGCTGAGAACGCCTAATCGTGAGAATGGCCGNTCGTTTTCGACCCTTTTTTGGACGTCCAACTGATGACAAAATCTGATCCGTATTAGAATCTTCAACGAAATTTTCTTCAGTATTAGGCTCAACAGCTTCATTTTGTAAACTATCAGTTATGTGTGTAAAATCCGTATGCAATGGAATCAAACTGTCTGATGTTGGACTCTGTCCTGGGTTGGAATAATTCTGGAAATTTTCTACATTGTTACCATTATCAGATTGTATGGAATATATAGTTTCTAATGATTCTATAGTTTCACTGTTCCCTCTTACAGTTGTTCCTTCATGTACATGTGACACATTTGTATCTTGTAAACGTGTAATCAAATGACCTTTACGTGGAGTATCATTACTGTGAACTATAGCCACAATATTGATTTTTCTAGATGTCACTGTAGTATCATCATCAGATGAGTCTGAGTTACTATCTGGGACATAATCTGTGTCGGTATCAGCACTGAAATCACTAATATTATCTGTGTTATTCTTTGGAGTGGAAAAATGTCTGTTTAAAACATTTTCTTCTTCTAAATCTACCTCGTTTAAGTCTTTAGGATATTCTTGAATCGGAGTATGAATGCCGCTCAAAGTTTGGTACAAATCTAATGTACTTGGAGACATATAAGGTACAGGTGACATCTGAGGCTCGTTATCTGTAAGTATTTATTTATTTATTTTACAAGTTATTCTCTAGGCAAATTAAAATACCCTGATCTTAAGATATTTCTAATATAAACGTGATGCCCTTTCGTTTGTTACCCCACAGGGGTATATTTGTCATTTTTCGATTATTCATCTGAAATTCCCGAAATCTAGTAAACGGCTTAACCAATTTTGATAAAACATGTCTACGACCTTTCAAGAAATTAGCTTTAGTACAAAAAATACCGCATTAATAAAAACACTGTTATAGTAATGGTGTAGAAAAGGAATTGACTTCATACATACCCTTATCCAAAATATCAGTCTCATTTTTTGTCGTTCTCAGTGGTGTCAACGGAGAATATATGGGAGCTTCCGGAGAAATCAAGTCATCTAAAAGATATAAATACACCTTTAAGCCCCAAGCCGGTCAGCTGATCAATGATTATACAGTTTAAGTTTGCCTTTGCCACAAAAGAAATGGTTTTATTATAAATCTTATTAAAAGAAAACTCATTCCATTACATCATAACTAAAATGCATGCGCACGCGCTGTGCAGAAACAAGCAAATCAAATCAAAAACAAAAGAACCCAAACGCGAAATAATCTTTTCATGTAATAAAAATACCAAAATTTTTAGGTTATTTAAAAATATAGTTAAATCAACAAGCAACTTACCTGGTTCGAGATCTTGTTCACTGTTTGAACAATCTTTTATCACATTACACATAATTCTATCTATCCTCTTCATTTTTGGAGCCACTAATCAAATTCACGAATAAGCGCGCACATCTAGTCTTGTAATTTGAAGAATTAACTGACTGAACTAAGTACTGACAGATTAATCAGTTGGCAGCACTGATTTGTATTTTTTTTAACCGGCCAGGCTACGAAAATTTTATATAGGTGTATAATCTAATCATACCTAATTTATAATTTATACATAAATAAGTATGATTAGATTGGGCTTGGGTTGTTTTTGTGAAACAATATTTTTATACTGTTTTTTTTTAAATATAATCAGTAAGTAAGCACCAAGAACTATTATGGATCGTTTTCGTTAACAGATTTATTAGAAGAAAACGTAAAAATGCATTTCTTGAAAAAAATCCAAGCTTTCTGGATCGTTTTATTAATTTGATTATAAAATAAGCAATTCAGCAAATAAATCCAAGCAGAGTGGATCGTTTTTGCGTTTTTATTGACGTGTGGTTGAAGTTGGTATTCAAATTTCGCAAAAAGGATCCAATCTATTTGGATCGATTTACTGATTTAGTTTCTAACACAGGGTAAGAACCACGACAGTTGGATTGTTTTAAGTGAAAAAATATATATAAGCGGCTATAGATGTGGGTTGGTTCCGATGTTTAAATTCAAAGGAAAACAGCTGTTTTGACGTGGGTCTTTTTTACTGACCGATAATATCGATATTTAGCATTACTTTGGTATACTTAAGTCATTTTTGACAATGTTGTGGATTGGATCCTTTTCGTGTAACTACGTCCAATTAATGTACATGTTATTCTAAGATGAGAGATTAAACTTTTTACATGCGGGCATCCATGTGATTGTTAATTAAATGAGATAGGTACGCAAAAAGTGTATGGCAGACATTTTTTGTATAATGAGATACGCAAAAAGTGTAGACATTTTTTGTATAGTAATTATACCAAGATAGATCTGGTGAGCTCATGTTTTCTTGGTTAATGTGCATAATTTTTGTTATTTGCAAATGTAATAAACTATTTCAATCTTTTAGTAAAGGTAGCAGGGAAGCGCTGGACGCAGGCCGCTACCAATCGATCAACATGGAAAGCATTGGGGGAGGCCTATGTTCAGCAGTGGACGTCCTATGGCTGAAATGATGATGATGATGATGATGATGATAATGAATCTTTTATTTGCAAAATGAAAAGAAGGGTTTAGGCGAAAAATGATTGAATTGTTTATTCATTAAGAACATTCAGTCAAATGGTAAAATGACTTAGGCTAAGTTGCACCACCTTACTTTAACTTTAATAAATGTCAAAATTCTGTCTAACTCCGTACAAAAAACACCGGTTATGGTTATAGTTACGGTTAAAGTAAATTGGTGCAACTCAGCCTTACACGAGTTACAGACTTAACTGCAACATTTTTTGGAAACCTTTAAATGCAGATCTATATATTTTGTTTTCAAAAATAAAGGTAACGTTTTATAAAACTACAAAAATAAATTGCTTCAACCATCATCTCTATTCCCAACAAATCATATAAGGCCTTGTACCATGCTTACTACAACAGACAATAGTATTTAAATATGTAATAACATACTGCACAAAAATAAATGTCCATGACACCGTTGTACTAAATAATAGTAATCATTATATTCAAATTTGCTCCCAGTGGGAATTGAACCCGCGAACGCCACGCGACTATTCTCACCTCTTGTTCCCACCGCTGCAACTCCTGTGTAGCCAGGATATACAGCTCGACCACCAATAAAAACCCAACCAGTGAAGGTCAAGTTTTTCCTGGGGGAGTAGTACGTAGAGTACAAATATAAATATCGAGGATACCGATAAGTATAAAACAATAGTGCTCATCATACTAAAATTTGGTCCCAATGGGAATTACCGCTACCACAGACCCAGGCAGCCGTGATTAACCGCTTGAGTCCCAGACGGCATTAATTAATGTCATAACAATTGATTACACCGGTCAACAAAAAAAAAATTTTTTTTTGCGCATGGATTTTACTTATTACATTCTGATTATATAAGCAAATATATATAAAAAAGTGCGATTACAAATCGAAAATATTTGCTTTTTAAGAAGTTATAGCGATTTGAATTTTCCATCTTCATAGTAGAATGTCTCTCAAGATGCACGTCACATTTTCATTGGGATATATTTATAAATAACTAGCGGCCGCCCGCGACTTCGTACGCGTGGATCCCGTTTTACCCCCTTCATCTATCTTACGCGGTTTAGATTTTTTCATACAAATGTTTTTTTCCGCTAACTCCCGTTCCCGTGGGAATTTTGCAATATCCTGTTGTAACTAAGCTTTAAGTTTACTAAGGTACCTGCACGCCAAATTTCAAGCGTCTGACTTAAGCGGTTTAGATTTTTCATACAAATGTTTTTTCCCGTTAACTCCCGTTCCCGTGGGAATTTTGCAATATCCTGTTGTAAATAAGCTTTAAGTTTACTAAGGTACCTGCATGCCAAATTTCAAGCGTCTAACTTAAGCGGTTTAGATTTTTCATACAAAACGATTTTCCCGCTAATTCCCATTCCTGTGGGAATTCCTAAGTATCCTATAACCTGCTCAGGAGTATGAAGAATAATTGTACCAAGTTTCGTTAAAATCCATCGAGTAGTTTTTGTTTCTATAAGGTACATACAGACAGACAGACAGACAGACAGACAGACAGACAGACAAAAATTTTACTGATTGCATTTTTGGCATCAGTATCGATCACTAATCACCCCCTGATAGTTATTTTGAAAATATATTTAATGTACAGAATTGACCTCTCTACAGATTTATTATAAGTATAGATTAAGGGGGCTTATTCGCAAGAACAAGGGGCACGCTTTCATCAAAATATAGTGGGGTTTGAGAAACGACGTTACCAAGGCCAGTATACTGAAAGCATGAGAGGGTTAGATTTTTATGAAAAAAATCTTCTATGGAACATGACAGGAAATTAGAACTTTTCATTTTTAATAAATATTTGGACTCTATTTTAATTTTTTTCTTGTGAGAATGAATCTTAAATGGATGTTTGTTATGTTTTAATAATTAGAAAGAATGAAAGAAAGACAGAAAAAAAAATTTGGCAACAAATTAAATCATCTATATGTTCATGTTTCATACATTCATTGATATGAATTTTTCTATTTTTTACACATAAAAGCAAATTCAGAACAATTGTTTGTTGTTATTCTTGTTTCTAGGTTATAAAGCAATAAAAATAAGCTATGCATAACCCGTGCGCAAAAATACTGTAGACAGTTGTTATCTATTGTGTCTAGATTCGCGGGCCTTGAAGGATTAATGAGTAGGTACTTAAAGTTCTAAAATAAATATCTACGACATCTTTATGTAATGTTAGTGCTTAACATACTAAAATGTGTTCCCAGTGGGTTTTTTTTTTTAATATCCTTTGACATTAAATTTGAACCCGCGAACGCCGACCAGCCGAGCTAGAATGCGTATCGGGATAAAATCTTATCTCATATCATATCAGTAGGGAAAAATGTTGCAAAAACGGGAAATATTACATTTTTCTCTACTGTCCCTGGCTGTAAGGTAATTATAGCCTAAAGCCTTCCTCGATAAATGGGCTATCCAACAAAAAAATTTCAGATCGAACCAATAGTTCTTGAAATTAGTAAGCTTTAATATAGATTTTAGACGACAAAATGTATGGCGTAAAATCTCTATAAAATGGCGCCTTAAAGGCTTATAGGCGTCCATCCTAGACCAACGGGGCAGACGGTTACGCGCGCTGTGATAATAGGTACGAGACTACGGCTGGGTTGCACCATCTTTTTTTAAATTTGACAAACGTCTGAAATCTGTCAAATTACATACAAAACACACCGGTTATCTTTATAGTTACGGTCAAAGTTAGGTGGTGCAACTTAGCCTATGAGTATAGTAAATTAATCTTCGCAAACTTTGCTCTTGTGACATAGACATCAGCGCATAATTATCACTCTAAGATTTATCGAGTTAGCAGCTACCATATAACTAACAAACACATAGCTCAAACACTACAGTAAGTACAAATTGTAGTCAAGTCTTTGGAGTTGTCAGGCGCCTATGGCAGCTCATTCATTTTGACACCGCTGAAGTAAGCAAATAAAAATTAATTCCTAGTGTACTCGTACATAATTGCTATTGTATTTTGGTTTAATCAATCAAAATATTTGGGACTCAAATGACTTTTTATAAAATAATGCCTCATAGTTTTATTATGTAAAGAGTATTTTACTTTATATTTATTTTTTGTTGTCTAGATAACGCATTGTTGGGGATTTTAATTTTTCCGGAATTTCAGTCCGTAAATTTTATTATTATCATACCATTTTTAGCAACTTTTTTGACCATGGTGTGGCTATATTCATTTGGCTATGACTTAGCCTTACTCAAGAGATTAATAGGTCTATCATTTATGATGCCTGGGGTTCCGTAATATACGGGTCTAGTCTATTGATAGTCTTAAAATTTTACTGATGAACTATACATAAACAAAATCTATATAAATAAAAATGAATTGATGTTCGTTAGTCTGATTAAAACTCGAGAACGGCTGGGCCGATTGAACTGATTTTGGTTTTAAAATGTTTGTCGGTCATAGTCCAGGGTAGGTCTAAACGGTGACCAAATACGCGCGCGATATTGTTTTTCTGTGACAGACAAAATTCCACGCGGGCGAAGCCGCGGGCGGAAAGCTAGTTATAAATAAATATCGTTTAGACATGCGAAATCTAGTCCCAAACTACGGCTTATACTATAATAGGGCATACAAAATACTTTTATTTAAATAGATCGTTATAAATCACCCCGATATAGTATAATAGGTAGTCTGCATTTTAATAATGTATAAGTATTCTTATTGTTGTACGGGGGTCGAACCCGCGACCTCTGCCATAGTAGTGCGGTCAAAATAACTTTTTTTTTAATGCTAGACAAGGCAGGTATTTGACCGCAATCGCACCTGGTGTTAAGTGAGATGCAGTCTAGGATGGTACATATCTGCCCTGTAAGTGCCCTGTAACTATTATAATAATCGTGTGTCTCATATTTTTGCTATACGTATTCGTGATGAAAATCACGTATTTCAAATAATTTTAATAAACAGATCAACATTATTTTTTATTCATGAGATACGGAGAAAACGAGAAAACAATATGGCTACTAATCGTAACAAATGACAAAATAACTCAGTCTAAGGCTAGGTTGCACCATCTTATTTTAACTTTGACAAACGTCAAAAATCTGTCAAACTCCATACAAAAAGCACCGGTTATTGTCATAGTAACCGTTAAAGTTTGGTGGTGCAACTCAACCTAAGTTAATGATATGTGTAGGTGTAATTTATGCCATTGTGACAGAGAAATAAATCCTCTCAGGATTTAAATAGGGCTACATAATTTTTGATCTAGAATCTAGATTTATCCAACGCCAGACAGACTGAATCAAAATTCCAAAGACCTTATTTACCGATACGCCGTAATTTGGTATTATAATCGTAATTAACATTTTTATTAGGTGTTTCAAAAACGCAATAGAGGGCAGCTTAGTAGCCCCAATCTGTTTTTAACATAAAAAAGTTTGTAGCAAGTTATTAACATAGTTTATTCTTTTTTCATAAAATAAAATAGGCTGTTACTTCGATAGTGTGTGTAGTGGAAGTTTATAAATGAAATAACGAGTGGACTGTATGAAATTAGTGATCTATTCGATATAAATTTACAATGATAAGGAGACCGTTTAGTGCAAAGTCGT